GAGTTTTTACTATGCATGTGTTTTAAGGTGTAAAAGAGTGGAGGATATAAGAAAAAGGGTAGCAAGAACATTACAAAAGTCCAAGTGTATCTTTGCTCACCCATATCTCTTCCTTTCTCCCTGTCTCCTTCCCCTCCCTCTCCAGTTCCCCACCCCCAGTCATCTGTTTCTAGCAAGTGCTACCCCAGAGGGCCTTTACTTCCCCTGACAGCCCCAAGGGAGTGAGGGACTGGGGTGGAGTGTAAGCGTGGCCACAGACCGAGTTTTGGGCAGGGAGCTCTGGGGCAAAGGACTCTCCTTGGCACCACTCAAATTCTGCCCCTTCCCACTGTCACATCCAAACACGTGCAGAGTCTCCACGGCCTTGAGGAATTTGGATTCCAGCTGGAGAGACAGGACTTGTTGAAAAGAATAAGCCCTGAAGAGGGCTAGCATGGGTGGCCTGGGAGCCACGGCGCCTGGGCCCCTGCCCCTCTCCTTCTGCCTGCCAGGCACCCACCTACCCTGGAAAAGGTGACCGGAAACTGGGTCACGATCCCACTCCTGCTTCCACGTCCTCTGGACCTGCCTCTGTGGCGGCACTGATGACGGTTCTGTGATGTTTATCTCCCCTAGGAGATTGAGTACTCCAAGGGGCGAGGACCAAGGGCCACGTCCCGAGTGACTTTGTACCCAGAAAGTAACAGCATTCAATAAATGGTAGGCTTTGTGTGGTGGCTGGCTGGGCTGTGACTGGGGGAGCAGGCTGGAGGGGGAGCCTCCTTCAGCTGGAGTGAACACACTGCGTCTCAGGTGTCTGGAAAGAGACTACAGTAACCCTAACCCTAACCCTGTCCCATTGCCAAGGACGCAGTGAGAAGGTCCCTTCCTTTCTCTCTCTGCGTCTAGGCTGTCCCTACTCTCATCGGACCCTCTCCAGTGCTGTCTGTGATCATCACTCCATGCTAACCACTCACTATAATTGACCACAATTAAAATTCTAGTCCTTTGAGGCTTAAACGGCTGATTTTATGCACACCTCCTATTGCCAAATTTGCTCCAAATTTCAGTGTCCTCTGACCCTTTGACTTTACCCGTGTCACCTCACCTGCCCATGCTTTTCTCATTGTTCCCCACTGACTTTACAGGGAACTCAGCTTTCCCCCTTGATTTTCCCCAAAACCATTCCCATGAAGGATTTGTGTGCAACTGAGTATACTGAAGGCTTGGGGAGGGGAAGAATCCTAAACCACAGAAGCACAATTGGAAATTCAATATTGAACATGCCTCTTTTCCAGAGCTCCTCAGCAGCCTGCTATGAGGGTTCCCCACAGATCTCCCAGGCTCTAACCTGCTGTCTGCACTGAGGTGCTCACTCCCTCCTCACTGCACACTCTCCTCATCCTGCAGGCCTTCTCCTCAGTTGTTTTGTCGAGCCTGTCTGGATCCACACCTCTGTCCTCCAGCCCAGGGGTGCATGAGCATGCTGTCAAACATAGTAGGGCTGCAGGAAGGGTGGCCACTCTCCTTCTCTACCCTCTTTACTAGAGGTTAGTTCCTATTTGTCTTCACATCAGCATAAAAGTCATGCACATCCTAAGGGAAACCGTATTGTCTCAGTGGTGACCTTACCATGGCCACCTGCCTTCTGGAGCAGATAAGTCCCCAGCACCCAGCATACAGTCTCATGGTCCCCTTTGACCTTCGAAGACAGTGTCAGAGTGACATCTGTATAACAATTTCATTAATATTCATCTCATCCCTAGATTGTAAGCTCCCCCACCGAATCACCGTCAAATACAGAGGTACTGGCACATGGTGGATGCTAAAAAGAATGTGTTGTACGAATAAGTGAAAAAAATAAATTAATGAATGAGTGAAAGAGTATCCATAGCAGAGGAAACCAAATATTCAAAACACAGAAGTGGGGGGAAAGCATGACACAATCAGGAAACAAAAAAGCAGCTTAAAATGTCTGGATTGGGGGCGCCTGGGTGACTCAGTTGAGTGTCTTACTCTTGATTTCGTCTCTGGTCGTGATCCCAGGGTTGTGGAATCCACCCCTGTGTCGGGCTCCATGTTGAGTGTGGAGCCAGCTTAAAATTCTCTCCCTCTGCCCCTCTCCACTGCTTGCACGCGGTCTCTAAAATAATAAAAAAAATTAAATAAAATATAAAATAAAATGTCCGGATTGGCAAGGCTATCGCTAGGCCACCTGCTTTCTTGGGCAAGTGAGCAAAAGTGCCCCTCCACCTTGGTGTTATGTGACCCCTCACAGGGCACCCAGGCTGCATTCTCACTGCTATAGCCCCTTTGTCCAGATGCTCCACCTGCACACCCAGGAGTGTCAGCCCTGCCGCGCTGGCTGGCGTTGAGGGAGATGAGCGGGGGCCAGCTCATGCTAAACCTGGAACTTCATTATTTCTTTCCCAGATCACTGTGCCAGCCTCTGTGTTCAAGCTCTCCTCTTCCAGTTCACCCTGCACACTATAGCAAGAAGGGTCTTTGTAAAATGTGAATCTCGTGTTGCCTGCCCCTGTAAGATTCTCTACCGTGCTTCCCAGCCTAGCAGGAGGCCCTACAAAAACTGCTAGAAATACCCCCAGGGTTCAGTCCTTGGGCCCCGTTCTCTACCGCAGCCAAAGATAGGCTGTTCTGTACAGAGGCTAAGAGCAGGGACTTGGAAGCCTGACTTTCTGGAAACTTCTAGCTCTGCCCCTTGCTAACTACATGATCCTGGGAAATTTGCTTAACATCTCCGTCTCCTTTCTACAAACTGGAGATGCTAATTGCAGCCACTGCATAGAGTTGCTGAGGGGATTGAGTGAGGTAATTAACATAAAGTATTTTAAACAGTGCCTGGCACATAAAGTCATAATTAAACTCCATAAACGTTAGCTACTATTACTAGTAATAGTAGCACCGTGGTGGGCGCACAGGAGACACGGACACTACGTGTCCTGTTATTTCAGAGCTGGCACAGCGTGCGGTCAGAGCAAAGAGGGGAGCAATGAATTTTTCTTGAGGAGTCAGGCAAGGACCTAACAGTCAAGTTCATATTGGAGCTGGACTTTGGGGGATGAGTAGGAGTTTTCTAGGATGAGTCACACAAGGTGGAGGGACAGCATGTGCAAAGGTGGTGAGGCGCATATGTGCATGGTAAGTTCCCATAACATAGGGATAGTATTTACTCATTTGCCTATTTAATCTTCCCTTGTAAATCACGTTTTGTTTCAGCCTCTCACCTCTAAGGCGGAGCTCTGGTGTTTACTGACCAGAGACAGGAGAGAAATCTGCATCCGACCAGACCACCGAAGCAGAGGCTGCCAGTCCCACCCACGTCTCCCAGGCCTGCACCAGTGCTGCCTGCTGGGTGACTTCCTAAACAAAGCCCTGCAACTCTCTGCCGAGGGCTCTCTCTGGCTGCAGAAAAATGCTTAGCCACCTGCACAGAGCGGGCTGGAAGTGCGGGGGAGTTAAGAGCCTAAGAGCAAGGCTCAACCAATGACAGACAAGCGTTGGTCAAACAAGTCGGAGGCTTGTTGTGAACCATCTCCAGAGGTTCTCAGGGACTGGAGCCCTGGGGGCCTCCAGGCCCACAGCGTTAACCTGTCCATGAACACGTCCTAAATAGCCGCCTCCCCTTTCCTGATTCATTTCCTCCTGTTCCTGCCGGTGTTTCCTGGGATCGCCCGACCGATAAACTACTTGCACCTGCACTCATGTGCTGCTTCTGGGAAATCAAACTAAGGGAATTGCTTAAGACTCCAAAGTCCTTGTGCCCGAGCTTAATTGTGCTACTACTTGCTTTGTGAACCACCCTCCCCGCCCCTACCACTCGTCAGTTTCTTCAACATTAATAAACGGGAGGAGGGGGGGTTGCAAAAATTCATAGTAGTTGAGAAGAAATCTAGGAGCCTTCTAACACTGTGTGCCTATCGCAGCTCTGTCTCTGTGGGGCAGGCAGCGCGCGGTGCTGGTGGTGGGTGTACAGGGAGAGCAAGCCACATGCCTGCACACTGGAGCGGACACAGCACAAGGAGAAACACACTGAAAAGTCGTTTCTAGAGAATTGAAATGGATTTGCCACAAGCAATAACGACATTTAGAAGTTGCTTTGGACTGTGAAGGGGTGGTGTGTAAAAACAAATAGTGCTCTTAAAAATACCACGAAGGAACGTTTTTAAAACTGAATCGTAATTGAGCTTGGACCACAAAAGCACTCAATTTAATATGTGAGACTCGTAACTGTGTCTCTGGGCGTGAGAGTTCACATCAGTTAGAAGCCGCTGGAAGCTGCTGGCAGCCCAGGCAAAACAGTGTCAGTTTTCCATTAACCTAGAACTAGTGTCTCTCTCGACTTCCAGCCCTAAGTAAGATTGCTGTAATTTCTTCTTTTCTCCAGGGTGAGAAGTTGGGAGAACTTTAAAGGTTATATATAAATATAAATCCTACAGACTTAAATTGAGCTAGTAACAGTTTACTTTCATATTTCAAAATCAAATCTCAGCTTTAGCTTGGACTCACAAAGTAGAAATGTCAGATTTTTTTGCTGTGGTCTTACATAAAATCTACAACTTTCACTTCAAGAGGAAAGAAACCCCCCACCATTTTACCTCATCCCCTGAATAGAATACAAAAGCCTTATCCATCTCTCAGAGTGGTTTTTATGTAAATTTTAGAATGGTGTCCCTTCAGAAAGGGAAGGAGTCTCAGGGGTCAGCAACCTCCTGTGACCTCGGTCCTGGTCATACTTTCTCTGACCTGCCTCCCTGACAGGTAAGTCTCATCAGACACTGCTTGTTTGCCTCCAGTGACGGGGAGCCGCCTACCTCTGAGCTGGCAGCCATCATTGGACCACAGTTCTTTCTCTTACTGCCTAAACTTCGCATCCCTGCATTTCCAACCATTTACAGAAACTGACCCAACAATGTGGAATGAATCATTTACTCCAAGTGAATAATTTACTCCAAAATTACATCCCCGCTACTTGTGATTTATTCTGAAAAGAATAATTCACAAAACTGGGAACTCCCTGTAGAAGACAAATTAATCTGGGAAGAGAAGTACATGAAGACTAACGAATCTGGCCAATTTCGACCACTCACAATTATTTTGTAAAGACGATTCCATATCAGTCATCTAATTTGGTTCTCGGGACCACTCTAGAATGTGGAATTATTTACAAATGAAGAGACAAACTCAGAGGAGAAGTGATGTGTCCAAGCCCCATCACTCAGTAGCAGAGTTAGTCCCTGAGCCCAGAGATGGGGATCTGCCTTCAGGGGTCACCCCCCAAGCTGCTTACAGATGCAGAGTTCTTTGTGGGTGGTGTGAGCTTCCAGGTACATGGGAGAGAAGTGCAAAGAATTGACAGTTTAAGCAGAGATCAATCTTATAAAAAAAGGCAGAGGAGAGAGGGAAGATGGCGGCGTAGGAGGACGCTGGGCTCACCGCGCGTCCTGCTGATCACTTAGATTCCACCTACACCTGCCTAAATAACCCAGAAAACCACCAGAGGATTAGCAGAACGGAGTCGCCGGAGCCAAGCGCAGACGAGAGGCCCACGGAAGAGGGTAGGAAGGGCGGCGAGGCGGTGCGCGCTCCACGGACTGGC